GTTTTTCTCAGTTGATTTTCCAAGTGCATAATCAAAACTCACTGCCGTCAAGTCGGATCTGACTCAGAGTGACCTCTCCTTGGGTTTCCGAGGCAATATCACTATGGAAGTAGGTCACCCAACCTTCTTTCTGAGGAATGGCTGGTGGGTTTGAACCTCCAGCCTTCTGGTTAGCAGTCAGATGCCTTAGGCACCATGTCACCAAAGCCTCTACAAATAATAACACATGAAAAAGAGATAAAATGTATCTGATTTTTTAAGTCTTACCTAAATATTTGTAGAATATGGACATCTTTATCTTATTCCTGTCTTTAATGGTACTGTTTCTAAATTTCCCCAGACATGCCTTTTTTTCTTTTTTTGGTTACTTTCTCATGGTTTATTAGAGCCAAGTTGAAGTCATTAGATACTGGCAGATGATCCTTGGAATCTGCAGGCTTCAGGACTTATTTGTCTCTTTAGCTACATGCTTTTACTTAAGTTTTGGCCTCTGAGCCAAAACTTTCTTGCCAGTTTGACTCTCCATTTAAACAGATGTTTATATACATGTATATAATCTTCATTTTTAAGTTTTTTTTTTTAACTTGGCTAATGTTACAGGATATCTATTCTGCTCTGTTGAAGGAGATCTGAATTACAAACTTAAATATTTGTCCTAGTATATTAATATGGTTTTCTTAAAGGATTCTGATTCTTCTTTTTTTTTTTTTTTTTAACTCATCTTTGCCCATTTCCCATCGTTATCATTTTTTCTCAAATCGTTTTAAACTCTTCATTTCCTTTTCATTTTGTTTGTTTTCACTTTTATCCTTACTGTTTTCAGCAGTATCTACTTTATCATATATTCTTTTCAGCTTGGCTTTTATTTCTGTGATTTTCTTTTTGCCTTTCGTTTCTTTCCTGAATCTGCCCGTCAGTTGCTTCTTGTTGTTTTGCTATCTTGTCATAAGTACTTGTTCTGTTTTGCTTTTATATCAAGACAAGGATTGCTTTGCTACTTATTTTTCCTCTTCCTACCTTCCTTAGCATTGAATTTGTGGCATTGAGTCATTCTTTGATACATGGTTGCTTTTCTTGGCCAAGCTCATTTTCAAATGTTTGTGCAAGAAGAGGGGACCAGGCCCTTGTTCAAACCAAGCTGGAGTTTTCAGTTTTAGTTCACTTACCCTTTCCTTCTTTCCAAGCAATAGGGCAAGACAGCCCTAGGTTTATCAGAATTCAAAGTATCTTTTCTCCCAGCTGTCATAAGAGACAAACTGCTTCTCAAAAATATGGCTTGCTTTTTGATTTCTCATTTAAGAAATAAGATTTGCTTCTTCTACTCCTTCTCAAAACAAGATTGAATATAGGGAGCTCCTGCCACTATTGTTGCAGCACAGTGATTTAGGTTTTGTTCTATGCCTGAGAAACATGTACTTTGTTCTTTATGAAATCTGTAGCTGCAGTATTCTGTCTCTGCTTCCATCTGCTTGATCTCAGCTGCTTCGAAGTGGGAATTCTTCTGCTTAATTTGTGACTTGGGATTCAGCTGTTTCCTGGTTTCTCTGAAAATGGATTTTGTGTTTTTGTTTCCACTTCTTGTTGCCCTTGGATAATTTCCAGAAGGAGAAGGGAGAAGTGTTGACTTTATGTCCCATTTGCATATTGGAAGTCCTCCTTGTAAGATTTTTATATTTAAAGTAGAAACATGGAGATTTTGATTATTGTTATTGATTCATGTAATGTGAAACAACTGTGAACTTTAATATATTTTTATATTTTATTCAGGAATCTCTAGTGGACCTATTTGTTAGATGAAAATTAGACATATGATTTTAAAAATGTACACAAAACTGAGGTAATTGTTAGCACAAAGGGAGAATCCCTCCCTCACAAAAGGTAAACATTCAACTGTTTTGTAAGTAAATATCTATATTTATATAGTTGAGGCATTTAAAAGCTAAATGGATTTGTCAAACATCTATCTAACCAGGAGGTTAGAGATCAATAGCAGGTTAGAGATTTGTTAACGATTGTAGCTTATCCATCAATCCCTTATACCCATTTTTTCCCATCCCTTTGTATCTGTAAAACCATGGCCTTTGTTTGCTCCATCTGATCAAAAACTTTACCATTCTCCCTGTAGTTTGGAACATTGCAGCATCTTGCCTGGATTCTTGTGTGTCTCCCAGTTTGTGAAACTTTACCATTCACTAATACTCTTTGTTTATATTTCTGAAAATAAATAAATAAAAGCTAACATTTAATTTAGGGGCCTGGAACATTTTTGAATCTTGAATTAAATTTTTCTCTGAATTCATTAACAATTTCAATTTTTATAGCCTACATAGTAGAATCAGAGAATATTTAAGTCATACACTGGCCATATCTCATCCCAGAGAGGATATTGAAGATGTTTGGAATGATTTTTCTCTAAGAATTTAAAAATATAAAACCAAATGAGGCATTGACATTGGTAAAGCATTTCTAAATCCTGTACTTGTGTGGTCATTTATCAATTTTCTCTTTGACAGCTTTTTTCTTTAATGGCATGCATGGGTTATTTTTCAAACATAGGATTTCAGAGTTACTTCTTTTATATTATTCTTATAACTTGTTCCTGATGTGAAAATTAGGATTTTTAATCTTTTTTTCAGATCAACATATTATTTTTGTTGAAATTAAATTTTATCATAAATAACTTGTTAGGATTCACATTCTTAGCCTTCAGGATGAAATGAAACTAATGCTTAGCTTCTCTCTCTAGTTCACTATTAGATGAAAAGGAATGTTTTGCATTTAGAAAGGAAAGTAGAGAGAGTTGAAATGTATATACCATCTCCTTCTGTTCCATTCTTCCAGTTACTCTCTCTTCCTTTGATGCTTAATTTTGGTGGGTACTTGTAGTTTTGGTGTTTGGGATATTTGAGGTAGAGAAATTGAAGTGTTGAGACATTTGGGAGAAGTGGAAGTAAAATATTGAGAAGAATATGGATATTTGAAGAACTAAAATCATACTTCATCTGTTTTGGCTATTTGTTTCTGTGCAGTGAAGTGCGTAGTGGCAATCTGTTATAAAGAATAATTTAGGGCCCAGATAAAATCATTTGTTATTTGGGACTATCCACTAAGAAAAAAATTCTGAGAATTCTTGTTCCTCTAAATTATGTCATTACTTGTTTTTCTTTCACCTTTCTTCCAATAGTGATGAAAATAACATCGTAACAAAGCTACTCTGTGGGAAAATATTTCACTTGTGTACCTTAATGGAAAAAACATGTGTTCAAAATGACTGAAGCATGGTAGCTGTTCAAGAAATATTTAATCTCCTTTGTTTTATTTAAGGAGCTCTGGTAGCACAGTGCCTAAGGCATCTGATTGCCTACCAGAAGGTTGGTGGTTCAAACCCACCAACCACTCTGTGGAAGCAAAACTGGGCAATCTATTTCTGTAAAGATTTACCACTTCAGTGGGGAGTGTAACCAGGACCATGTATAGGGTTGGAAGACAATGGTCCTAGAAGTGTATTTGTAAGATCTGAATTTCCAGGTATATAGTAGAGCTGACAAGGGACAAGGTTGTAGTCACTTCTTGGTCACAATCAGCTACCCAGAGGGACCAGGTAGTTGAACCTGTGGGCTTGGGACTACGGTCACAGGGGACATCAAGCTCAATTGGCATAACATACTGCACAAAACATTGTTCCACCTCCTACTGTTCCACCTCCTACTTTGGCAAGTAGCAACTGGGATCTTAAAAGCTTTTAAGCAGCCATCTAGATGCACTGATTGGTCTCTCCTTGGCCAGAGCAAAGAAGAATGAAGAAAACCAAAGATTCATGGAAACAGTTAGTCCTAGCGACTGGTGTACCTTGTGATCCACAGCCTGTATGACTATGAGATCAGAAGAACTAGATGGTGCCTGGCTACCACTATCAACCACTTGGAGGGCGATCTATGCAGGAGATCCTGGATAGAGAGGGAGAACAATGTGGAACAAAACTCAAAATCATTTTGGGGGAAAAAAACAGGGGGACCAGGTTTGCTGGTCTGATGGAGCCTGGTAGAACCACTGAAACTGTGGCCCCTAGCTGCCCTTCGGGTCTGGAATTGAACCCACACCTGTGGCTTCCAGCCGGGCAAAGGACAGGCGTATAAGTTGAACACTTACCTGAGGTAGATACACTCCTTGGAGAGAACAATCATGGGAGAAGGAGGGGCTATATATGTGCAAGGAGACAGCTTGGGGCAGGAGTGCATGGAGGGATGGACACAGGGAAGAGGTAACTATTGGGAGGAAGTGGGAAGGGAGCTGTTGCATTGTGGTAAATTGTAGTCAACGTCATGAGACAAAGTGTATGTGAACTGCTGTATGGAAAGTGAATTTGCTCTATAAATCTTCACCCAAATCACAATTTAAAAAAAAAAGATTTACTGCTTCGGAAAACCCAGCGGGGATGCTATGAGTCGGAATTGACTTGATGGCAGTGGGTTTGGTTTTTGGTTTTATTTTATTTATTAAACTTTTTATTTTGACTTAATTATAGCTACACAGGGAGGTGCAAAAAAATGTACAAGGAGGTTGTTCTGTGAACTCTTTATTTTTCTGCCTCCAGTGTTAACTCCAGGAAATATCAAAACCAGGAATTCGACATTGATACGATCCATAGTTTACTCAGATTTCACCAGTTATGCATGCATTTGAGTATGTATGTGTGCTTATATTTACTTATACCTCTATGCAATTTTATTATAGCTTCATGCAGCCACTACAATTAAGACACTTAATTTTACCATCATCACCAGATCCTTACACCTCTGGTTCCTATTTCTAACCCTTGGCAACAACCACTGATCTGTTCTTTAACTTTGTTTGTTTTTTATGAATGTTATATAAAAGGAATCATGCAGTTTGTATCCTTTTGAGTTTTGTTTTTTAATCTCTCTGGTTTTTAGTTACAGCATTTTGGTAGCACTTTTAACAAAAAATATGTTCAAATTTTGTTTTGTCTTATTCAATAGGTTTAACATGCCAACATGTAAGTCATGCTATCAATGTGAGTAATGTGAAGAAAGCAGTAGCTGAGAATCTGTGGTCAGTTTGTTCAGAATGTTTAAAAGAAAGAAGATTATATGATGGACAGCCAGTACTTCCTTCTGATACTTGGTTGTGCCTCAAATGTGGTTTTCAGGTAAGATAACTGTATGTAGGTATGAGTTTGTCTCAAATATTTTTCTCAAATGCTTACTGTCATTTGGACTATTGGTCATGCAACGGACTTAAGATAAATTAATTCCATTTTCAAGTAGAAATTCTCCAAGAATGAGCTTAGAAATGTTTGTTACAATAAGGCAAAAAGTATGTTATGCTCAGAAATTAATCATGTGCGGTTTATAGACACTTCAAAAGGGAATCTAGCCTATTTGCTGTAGTTGCCATATCTGGACCTGTCTTTACCTATTTGTATATATTTAGGAAATTGATCCAAGTTTTAAAAAATCTTTCAGAATTCATATTTTCTCTCAAATTTATCTTACAATGTAGAAGCTATTGATACCTATAATAAAGGAATTTTCAAGTGAAATTAAAAGTGTACATATATATATGTATAACTGCAAAAACGACAAGGAGGCCACATGTTCTGACCTTCTCTAATCTGACCTTCTCTAATCCCACAAGGGGAAGACAGGATTACCAGCAGTAACCCAAGGCCTATTCCTGCCAGGCCAGACATGTTGCCTTCCTCCAGCCCTTT